CACGACATGTGCCTTGGTGAGTGTCTTGTTAGCCAATAAATATAAATTGTATATATTATTTTTTCTACGACCTTCAAGTCATAATAAAGAAAAATAATTTATTAGACTTTTAATGGATTTATTAGTTATTGGAACCAAGAAAACATTATGAAAACTTTATCACAAAAAATAAATAAATGTCAGAAAATCAACGCTTAAGAAAAATTAAATTATTCTTCTCAAGATTCATATTAATTTATGGTTACATTGTTGATGATACAGTCATTAAAATACAACTGTAGAAATATTAGTGGATGAATGAAAAAGAAGAAGAAGAATTTACTAAGTAAACACCAACAATGAGATAAATGGAAATATTTGACATTTACCAAATATTACTGTGGTGTTTCCATTGATTATAAACTTGTATCTGCATCATAATGAATGCCATAAAAGTACAGGCAGTAAATGTCTAATAAATAAATTAAAGTACGGGAGTAGAAAAAAGGTAAAATTTCATTAAAATTCATCCGTTTTTCAACTAGGTTACTTTATATTATGTTATTAAGTATAAATTATGCGTATAATGCAATGTCCTAGTGCTACAAAAAAGGTTAAAGAGTTCATTTTGTCTTCAACGGTTACTTCATGTAAGTCTCTGTCTTCGTTGTTTATTTATAGAATAATTAAATCCAGTTAATTGCATAAAATGTATTAATTTACATAGGTCACTTGATACTTTCTTTAGCGGACAAGGAAATTACATGTGATACGCAGACACTGCAAGTTGATAAGTTACTTTACTTTTTGGGTCAATTATTCTACTTGAATAATTGCTGTTTTGAAAATACGAATAATATCATAAATTTATGACGGGGTAGTTAGAGTTTGGACTTTCGTTCGGTGACGGAATTTTAGTTTAATTTACCTAATTAAAAATTTAATCCTAATCCATAGACAGAATTCCTCACTCGACCATTCACTGTTGGGTTCTAATTAAGAGTACTGTCTCAAACGTGGTGCTGGAAAACTGTAACAACGGCTACACAGAAAAAAATTAATTACAAACAGAACTATACATCTGTGAATACACACAGTCTGAGCCCAGAACATAAACCAGTTCAAGGCGAGAGTGAATAAAGAACTCGAAGAAGGAAGAAATAATTTTATCTACAACTGTCATTATATGGATGTATTATATGCGTATCTAAGGCAACATAAAGCAATCCATATATCACTAGTGAGAATATATTCATATTACACGATTTTTGTCAATTATACCCCACTAGAATTAAAAATCATTAGATCTAGTATGCGCTTGACAAGTTAGTTGACAGCATGTTGACGTCGTTGGAATTATTACCTGAAATGTCGAGGAAAAATTATGAGATTGCATACAACAAATTTATGTCGTGGAAACAAACAAAAAATGTATCCTCTTTGTCTGAAGACACTGTGCTTGTATATTTTATGAAAATTTCTAGTAAATACAAATCGTCTACTTTATGGACAAACTATTCCATGCTAAGAAGCATGTAAAACAAACACAATGTCGATATTGATAAATATCCGAGATTACGTGCTTTGTTGAAAAGACGATCCGAAAATTACGAACCTAAGAAATCTGAAGCTCTGACTGGTGAACAAATTGAGAGGTTTATAAAGGAAGCCCCAGATTTTAAATATCTTGGAACAAAGGTAAAAACTCGAATCGAAAATCAAAATTCTTTAACTTAATCTACACATTTTTTTAAGGTTGCCTTGATTATGGGGGTCATGGGTGCTTGCCGATCCTGTGAATTAAAGAATATGAAAATTGGGGATTTAAGATGTTTTGAGGGATGTGCACCACAAGATTTTTTTCTCAATTTCCAAAAAGGAAAGTGTACAAAACAAGTGATAGGAATAAACAAGTTAAGCGCAATGGGAAAGCAAATTGCTACGTTTTTACAATTACCAAACCCTGAGAGATATACTGGCCATTGCCTCAGACGTTCATCTGCAACATTGGTTGCTGATTTTGAAGCTTCAATGACAACATTAAAACGTCATGGAGGCTGGAAATCCGCCTCCACAGCAGAAGAGTACATCGCCAATTCAAAAAAGAACAAAATAGAAACAGCTCAAGCAATTTTAAGTAAAATCAATAATAAAAATTGTGTTGGTCTTAATAATCCATCATCTTCTGACACTGACCGTCATGATTCTGTACTCATCAATAGTAACACTAATTTTTCTTTAAAAACAATATTCTCAATGATATTACCGGAGCTACGCTCGCTCGTGTTCTAAACAATTCTCGTGTAATATGGTCAACATATACACTTATTGAATAATATACTATTATTCTTTATAGTTTATAGTATATTAAGTTTTAACTATCATTTGACAGCTCTGACTCGTGACCTTGAAAGCGACAAATTTTTTCCAGAATGAATCTTAGCGATTTCCCATGTTAATTTACGTAAGGAATGAGGCCAAACTGTTGCAGTACCTTTACTAGAATAATTTCTGTCATTTTTCGTCTTGAAAAATAAAAATGTTTCCAAATTCGTTGCGCAAAGGCGGAATGATTGGTTGAATATTGTTTTCAACAATCATAATCAAAATAAATGGAGTGCGATGACCAAACATTATACATCCCAAAACATCACTGATCCGCCTTGATAGGGAATAACACCTCTTGCCAAAGTAAGTCGTTTCTGTCTACCTAGACCCCTCCAGACTTTCCCGCCGGCTATCACTCCTGACTCGTCCGAAAAAAGGATGTTGCGCCATTGTGGTAAATGGTCAGTTCCTGTGCGCTTGAGCTCATTGGCGACGTGCAACTCTGTATGGGGTAAGAGCCTAGGTTAAAGAACCTCTTGCCCTCTGCTACTTTAGCAATGAATTACTTCGTGGGACTGTTACTGTTATACTTCGGTTCTCTCAAGTAAAATTTGCCATATACTGGTCTTCCCTCTCTGATGTCACTCTGGATCGACCAGTCATCGACCTTCGCACAATACTTCCCGTTTCCTGAAAAAAGGCTACTATGCGCCTTATCGAAGTCCGTGAAATATTCAGATGAACCGCAATATGATGATTTAACAAATCGTCTTGATATAAGGCCACTATCCTTGCCCGGACAGACTGAGAAATCGGATCTGGTATTTTATGATAAATATATTTAATAATTTAATACTCGATGTCAGCTTAGAACTGATTTATTTTTAAATGGTGTATATTTTCAGACGAAAACAGTTTTTTGCTTACAACCTGTTGTAAGATAATGAAGAATGTATAGCCAAAAAATAGTAACCTTACATTGACCGCGGTAAAAGTAACCCTCTTCTGACGCTAAAGTAGAAAGAAAATAGTCTCGATGTCTATAAAACCCTTCCAGTCCTATCTTCTCAAGGAAGTTTAGGATTTGGAGAGGCTTCAAGTTAGATAGACCGCTTTCTTCTATTTGATATGCTTCTAAGTATAGTGTCCTATAGTTCAACACATTTAGTCAAAATGTGAATGGACGTTTCGTCCACCTCTTACAGAATCTACATTCACAATCTTCTACCACTCTCAGTTTACTAAGGTGTCATTTGAATCGGCAATGTCTGGTAAGGATCCCTGTTACAATGCGTAGCCTGTTCGCAACACCAATAATTCAATATAATCTTTAATTTTCGAAAGTTTAGTATTATTTTCATTGCATTTGGGCCTGGATAAATCTTTGGAGTTAGAATCTGACTAAGAAATGTCTAGTATTTCTCCTACAAAATTGACATATTTCAGAAACAACCACTCATTCGCTATCTACTTTGTTGCGATGAACTGAAAGCCATCTTCAAAACCGCTTCTTTTTTGGGTTAAACTAATAAAAAATCCAAAATTCACAAAACGACCCAGTTCGTACTGGATCTAAAGCATACAATTTAAAAATTGACTCGGTTACTCAGAGTGTCAAAAAGTGTGCATTAATTTTACCAATCTAAAAACTAATAACCTTATTTATACTATCGGATAGATATTCTATTCAAAAAATCATCAATGCCGTCATCATTTTTGGTATTTATCCAAACAAGATATGAAATAATGAATGTATTCCCTTCATTTGCACCATACTGTATACATTTCTAAAAACGTCACGTCACAGCCATATCCTTGCACAGATTTCATTCTATGCGAGCCGGCAACTTTTGACTTAAAAACAAAAGAACGAAAATCGGGAAACAACACGATTAACTTTGTCCTTTGGCGTTGCCAACAACTGGAAATTAAATTCCACTAACAAGGTTCATACTAACTTATTTTCCCATATACAGTAAAGTATTTTAATTATTTAGTTTCGGAATGGTCAAGGGTGAGTTTGTTAGAGGGAGGCGGAGGTGAACGTATACGTCATTCATTTGAATCGGTACGGAATTTTCACCTCTGGGTTTGTAGGGAGTAGGAGCTAGGCTGAAGGAAAGAGGAAAAGTTGTGGGCCAGCATTTCCAAATAAATTATTTGAAATCTACGCTTGGATGAATATTACCGATTTGAGTAAACCCTAGATAAACAAATGAAATATAAATTGGTAACGGTTAAACATATTTTAGACCGTCAATAAATATAGAATGCTCCTCTGTATCAGACACGAGCCATAAGTAACAAACCATTATTTTAAATACAATTACATCGGATGCAGTCAATTATTAGAGACAGGTTTGTAATTCCAACTTTCACACAGGTGTACGAAAAGTTACATCATTTGAGATCTATCAAAACAAAACTCACCTTATCTACATTTTATGAAAATTAAGTTAAATATTGCATTATTTAGCCTGAGTTGCCTCGCATTAATCGGCAAAGTTAAAACGTAGCAAAATCAGCTATATCCCGTTTAATTTTACAGTTGAAATATCGCAATCAAAGTAAAATTGATCTTATCCAGGCATACTACCAATGCATAACACGCGTATTATCTACCTGACCAATAGGAATGATCCATGGCAGGTGGCGTGACTTACAGCTGACATTAATTTTTGGACATTTTATTCACTGTGTGTTGTCATTGTGGGCTTGTTTAATTACACAGGTTTGCAAAAAAAATTCCAAACTATTTGACATGGTATTCCTAGGTATTTTGGCATCCTGAATCCTATCCCGGGGTATGATTTGCCCCACCACGTCAGAAAACCCAGATTTCAAGGTCATTTAGAGGTTAAAATGGTGCTTTTTCGGAACCGGCCCCGGGACAATTTCTCAAGCGATCTGTTAAGTTGAGGGGTAACTATCTAGGTCAGCGCAGGAACAGCCCAGTGGATAAAATGTTACCATGATGATTGTATCTCACGAATTTCAATCTCCCTGCCAAGGTGTTCAATTTCAGCGATCCATTTGCTGTGAGATAATGCTAGTGGATCCAGCACTGACCCAAATAGCCCTAGAACCTTGCCAGAACATTGGAAACAAATGGGAAATATGTACGAATTTGAAGATGGTAGCAATACTTTTGGGACAAATACCCTTCGTTTTCATGTGAATGGGACAGTCGAGCTCGTGATGAGCATTACCAAAGGAAGGTTTGGCTATCAAGGGACAATTTTGCTGTGGGTCAGAAGAACATATACCAAATGAAATTAGTGGATCCCAAAAGTATTTTACTACCTCCTGTCCATATTAAATTGGGATTGATAAAACAATTCGTCAAGGCTCTTAGGAAAAGAAGTAGCGAAGCCTTCCAATATATCTACGAGAAATTCTCAAAGTTGTCAGATGCTAAAATCAAAGAAGGGATTTTCAATGGGCCGCAAATACGAGAAATTATAAAAGATACAGAATTCCCGAAGAAGATGGTGGTAGATAAGGAAGAAGTATGGAAGAGCTTCGTGAATATTTCTCAGAAATTTCTTAGAAATACTAAAGTCCCAAACTATATGGAATTGGTGGAGGGCTTGCTTCAGAACTATAAAGCTATTGAATCTTTGATGAGCTTGAAGGTCCACTTCTTGGATTCGCATTTGGGAAATTTCCCAGAAAACCTCGGACATTTTAGCGAAGAACAAGGTGAACGATTCCACCAAGATATAAAAGAGATAGAAAGAAGCTATCAAGGTTTCTGGGACATTAACATGATGGCAGATTACTGTTGGAACTTGAAGAGGGATACCAACAAGGGGCATAAGAGAAAGGCGCTTAGAAGGAGTTTTGCTCAAACCTGCAGACCCCATGAACAAGCACGCAAAGATTGAGAAATTGGGAGGGAAAAAAGTGAGAAGTGTGGGGACTCACTATAAACAAGCACCCCGAAGGGAACAGTATCTGCAATGTCCCCGCCGTTGTTTCTGGGTAATGCTAAAAGCAGCAGACTCTAAGTCATAGTCGCAAATATTAAAGGATAGCTACACCAATTCACTTGGTGGAATGTGACGTCTTATCAGAGGGACTGAATTCAAATGGCCTGCCTCAGTAGAACAAAGGTGGCAAACTCTGAAGTTGCGGGTTGCGATCCTCGGGCCACCTGCAACCTTAGTTTGCCCCGGACAGTATACTCAGCTTCATTTAATTTTTGCACGATTTTCTAGGAGCACTTTGAGAAGTGCTGGAATTAACTGACGATAACTCAATCGTCAAAATTCTACGTGTTGGCAAGGGAAGCAAAATTCACGAGCTCGAATACCTCGAACCACTTGAGCATAACTTCAATGTTTTGGTAAGGTTCTAGGGCCATTTGGGTCAGTGCTGGATACACTGGCATTATCTCATAACAAATGGATCGCCGAATGTGAAAACCTTGGCAGGGAAATCGAAATTTGCGAGATACAACGATCATGACAATATTTTATGCATATGGCTGGCCCTGCGCTGGTCGAGATTTGGGGACCGTATCCAATGTTTGAAAGGTATTCAAGACCTACTCAGTTACCCCTCAACTTAACAGTTCGCTTGAGAAATTGTCCTGGAGCCAGTTCCAAAAAATCACCATTTTGACCTCTAAATGACCTTGAAATCTGGTTTTTCTGACGTGATGGGGCAAAACTGACCCGGGATTAGATTCAGGACGCCAAAATACCTAGGAATGCCATGGTCTGGTCAAATAGACCGGACTTTTTTTCTTTGTAAACCTGTGTTATTAAAATTGCCTATTAAAATCGCATTTTTACATACTGTGTTGTTGATAGTTTAGGTAGTAAGTTACCATTATTTGCACTTTAATCAAATAGAGCGTGAAATTCTTCCCTAAAGAATGTAGCTGATAAATTCAAATGAAAAAGAGAAAAAGCCAAACGTAGCAGGTATGTTTTAGAAGTTTTAATATAGAGCAAAACTTACTAAAAATGTTTTGTTGCTTTAAGCATAAACCAAAGAACTTACCACAATATCCTAGATGCAATCACGATGGAAAAACCTATAAATGTAAGAAATTAATACCGCGAGACGTTTATGATTTCTATCGAAACTTCTAAGCATGTAAAACTAAAACGATGCAAGATGCCTACATACTAAAATATTGCAAGAGTCTTCAACCAAAACGTAATAGACAAATGAAAGAAGGGAGTAGCAAGAACAGTATCAACAAGATATTTGATAAAAAAATCAAAGCATTCTTAGATGTTCTTGGTATCTCCAGAGGTCGAGTTCAAAGAGAAGTTAGAATGCACTTACAAATAGGGCTTATACCTACAAAAAATTGGGATGGTGAAAAGTATGAGCAAAAAAGGATTGTTGTTCGAAAATTTATCGGAAACTTAAAAGGTGTCGAAAGTCACTACTGTCGATTAAAGACGGGTAATCGTCAGTACTTAGGCAGCCATTTAAGTATTTCTAAACCTTGGAAAATATTTAATGAGTCACACGATGCAATCCCTAATGTAAATGGATTTTTTTCCAAAATATCTTTTCCAGAGCATTGGTTTCGGAAGTCCTGTGACGAATGGCTCCAAATGTATTGAGTTAGCAGAAAAAATAAGCTCGAAAAGATCCTGCCAAGAAGATTAGCTTGATGGTAGAAAAAAGAATCTACACTTTAAACTTAAGGAAGTTAAGGATAATATGATTACTTTCTCGTTTGACAGCCAAAAAAATTTGGTAAACTCCAAAATTCCAGATCAGATTGCCTATTACAATAGGCAGTTATATACTATAGTTCAAGATTCTTCCAAGGCAAAAATGAGCAATGAAAATATATATATTTTTACTTAGATAGAACATCAGTTTCATAAAGGATCAAACAAAATTGCCTCTTTTAAAAGCTGACCTCTCATCATATTCAATAATAAGAGTTTGTGCTGATGGATATGGGGGACAAAACAGAAACTCATTTATGATTGGAATGCTATCCTATTTTTTTTTTTTTCAAATATAACCACTATTGAATTAGTTTTGCCGAAACCAGGGCAATCATTTCTGCCTCCAGATAGAGTTTTTGGGAGAATAGAAAAGATATTAAAAAAGCAGCCAACAATCACCGATCCCAAAACTTACCAGGATATTTTTAAAGAACATGGAACTGTTGCTCTTTGGGAATGACTGTCCAGTGATGGATTGGAAGTCCGTTGGATCATGGCACTTCAAGGTTTCACTTGCCAATAAATTCATATTTACAAAAAACAAAAATGGAAGTGTTACAGTATGTGGGAAGCTTCATTATAATTTAAATACCGGAACAGCCAAACAAGTTTTAAAAAAAGGCGAAAGGCTCAAATAAATAATGATGATGAAAGTTTATTCAATTTTGTTGTCGTTTTGTACTTTTAAAGAAATATATTGCTTCTTAGCACGTAAAAAGGTTGAGATCCAATTTAAAACAGTGCCTCTCATTCCATATTTCTCCAATATACTTAATAGCAACTCATGGTTTACACAATCGAATGCTTTGTTGAGATCTCAAAAGATAGCACCTGGGCATTCAGATTCCTCCAAATGGTGAATAATTTTATTGTAAAATGAAAGCATAGCAGTTGTTGTTGATTTTTCAGTACAGAATCCATGTTGATTTCCTATTATAATGTTGTTCCTTTTTTTAAGAAAGGCAGGAGACAGACCACAGGGAATAGCTACATCTTTATAGTTTTTTATTTGTCTACGATCATTTTTCTTGTGCAATGATAAAACTTTTCCCAGTTTTTAAGCTTGAGGAAAACTGCCCATATCAAATGATAAGTTTACCAAATATGTTAAAGGTATAGAGGGAACATCTAAACTTGCTTTAGTACAAAACATGGTACGTCATCGGCTCCAGAAGAATTTTCCTAAGTAATAAATTTAATAACTCTGTGTGAGAAAATGGAATGAGGAAGAAAGAATCTTTATTTGTTGTGATTCCTTTGATGTTAATTTATTTTGTTATTATTTTGTCGACCAAATGATCAGGACCATATTTAAATAAAAGCATTTTTCTACTCAGATTATTCCAATGGGCGTTCCAGTAAAACCAGCAAAGCTAGCTGATGGTTACAAATTGCCAATTAAACATTTAGGAGAAGAATGGCAAGAGAGAGAAAGAGAGGGAGAAGACTTACTGCTTTTTAAAACACTCTTATCAGACATTAGTCAAGCAGGTGTTACTAAAGATACCATCGACGAGCTCGAGGAAGACTTTTGTGAACCAAGAACACCAGAAGAGGATATCGATCCAAGAATCTATTTTTTAAATTACATTGTAACGTTTCTTTAAAATAAATGTTTAATTTTTTTCACGTTGTAAAACTCGCCTATCACTGCATAACTTGTCAAATCCAAAATGACACTGCAATACTTATCCAAATTATTATTGCTTTTTAAAACTATTTTGATGGTTTTCACGTTATTCTAAGTACAAAACACCCTACCTTTCTTTTTAATGCTATAGGTATTAATTTGTCAAAATAAAAACCAAAAAAATAATCGGCGTAAAGGTTTTTAGCTTGTTGTACCAAATTATCCAGAATGGATATGACAAGTTTGCTTTGTTAGGTCTCATTTAAAATCACACCCCATAAAATCCGCTAAAAGATGAAGACGTGACTTAATAAATCGCTTCTCTAATGTTCACTTAGAAGCTTTGAAAAATCATTTAAACATTCATTCCTTATTCGTCAGTCTTAGAGCTCATCTTAGTAGGAGTCATAATAATGCTGTGGTGAACACATATATATTTTCTGAGATAAAGATACTTTAAATATGTTGTAAGCACATTTGAAACGACTGCAATCTAACCTTACTATTGGTTCTTTATAGATAAAATATTGTCAGTAAAAGAAAGTTATGCATGACTGAACTCGACATTCCAGACTCTCACAGTGGAGCAAAAACGGAATAATAAGTATATGAGAAAAGATCCCGATTGAGCCTCTTACTGCTTAAGAATTTCAGTCAATAAAATCGTCATTTTTTTCTTATATTTTCGAATTGCCAACGTAACAATGAACATGAGATCTTTTGTGTAAATTTCGATGTGCTTTTACAAGTCTCGCAGTCCGACGTACTTCTAGAGCAGAAAGATCGGCTTAGCGTCGTCCGTAGTAGAGTTAATACCTTCGGAAAACTCTTCAGTGGCGTAGATATGATCACGATTAATTACTTCTTTGAAATCAATTTAATAATAAAACTAATTATTTTATTAAGGAAAGCAGGCTGTTATAGTGTAAAAATTGGAAAATTACAATCACAATATATTTTGAAATACAGTTTTGTTTATAGAATATTTTTCTGCAGGATGAGTGCGATTACCATAATGCAATAATTACCATAATTAACCATCTGTTTATTTAGAGAAGTGTGGCCTGAACAAATCCAGTAGGTCGTAAATGTATACATTAAAAAGTAGACGTCCCAAGATGAAACCCTGGGGATCCCCGCCTATGAAAGGTAAAATATCACTATACTGATAATGTAGCTTTTAGTTTCAAATTGCCTATATTCGATACGAATGCATCAATTTAGTTACTGTCTATCTGACTGATAATTCCAACTTGTTCTACTTTAACTAGGTATCCTTGTTTTGGTACCTTCACTACCAAAATCTAAATAAACTCTGTCCAAACTGATAATTCTAATCGCTCAAATAACCCATTAATTTCTTACCACAATCATACCCTATATAAATTCATGTTGTTCCACTGGAATTATAGTTTTATTTACCAGACAATTTTACATAGTGGTATTTGGGAAGATTATTTTACACTATAAACAGAACTTTAAATACAATTTAAAGCTAATTTTATTTCTTTACAAAATTTATAATAGTAAATTGTTATTTGAACAACCAAAACGATTTTTA